GAACATGGATAAGGGTTAACCATAACAATTTGATATAAGCTCATTACAAATCCTACACAGCGTTTCCAAATGTACAGCTTCTTTGAAGAGCCGGATCGATGACGTCTTTCAATCAATATTAGATACGCAGTGCATGAATTGATCGATTCAAAATCTGAATCGGCAATTCATCAACTGATCGCTTTATGATTGTTTCACGTTCGTTTTTTCTTGCGAATACTGCATGTAACAACGGATCTACTCTTCATAATTCCCGACTAGCATCGTTCATTGACCCTTCGAATCATATTCCTTTATTATTGTCTTTTTATCCAACAGAATTCATCCATTGTCTGTATTTTGCAGTCGTTCTCACTTAAAAATCCGTATTGAATTCATAGCGTCGAGTTGAATCGATCTCGGGATGCCATAAATAAATCGACAGAACCAATCTCATTTTGTTGGCCGATGCGCCATCGAACCACATCTCGTGCTCATATGAATCGTCGAATATGATGAAACGTCCCGTCTTCCAACCACGTGTCTCATCTGCGACGCGAATTCGTGCCTCTGAAATCGATCGTTTCATATAATTGTTTGATTGAGACCTCTTACTGAAGTGACTGAACAAACGTGATGCTCAATTTTATGTCCGTGTAATCCAAGCGACGCCCACAGAAAAGATAATGAGTAGAAACCTGAAGGGACAACCAATCCCAAGTGTGCCTGAAGTCGGCAATTCGAATATCCACAATGTGGCCATACTCTCGTACCGCTTGTGAGAAGTGAAATTTTCAACTGCAAATGAAATTTTGAGTCTCCTTCATATTTGCACGTTTACTGCTATGCACTCACTATTTTGTCTTAATGAGTGACCATCAAAAGATCAAATTGTGAATAGAAGGAAAATGTAAAATGATTCAATATATACGCAAACCCAACAAACCATATAAACCTGATTCTTGGTGCTGTTGGAGGACTCCTTGAAATCTTTGAGAATATCACATGTTTTGGGCATTTTATGACAGTTCGTCTTATTCCAGCTACCAGCATAAAATAATGTGAATGCAAGCCATTGACCACCAATGGTCAACTGTTTATTTTCAGCCAAATAAAGCTCTGGATTTCGCTCGAGCACTTTCAACGCTTCTTCGCGAATTATTGTCCATTGACGTTCAACATTCTACAATATGCACTTTTGAACAGTTTATTAGTGAAATGAAATGTTATGGAAGGAGATTATCGGGAGGATGCAACTCAACGCTCGATAAGATGAAATTTCCATCGACAAATCAGCTAGCTGTGTGCAACTTTGATGGTGCCAACGAATATCATGATCCGAGTTTTGTGTGATTATCTGCCTTTTGGATATTAAGATTGATTCGATTAATCATCGACAATGAGTTCTAACCTTAAGATGCCTTGAATAAGTGGTTTGATCAAGTGTCCACCACGGTCTTGCAGTAAGACCATCGTAATTGTAAATGGACCTTTGATATGGCGATAGAAAGAGCCCAATCTTTGCTGCTATACTATAAACGCCAAATGCCTATAACATGATCAAAACATGAAGAGAAAACATGAAAATCGTATATGAAATTTGCTGACATCCACTACTGAATTAATCGGAATTGTCGGAAAACTGGAGATTGGTTTTAAACTACGGTGATTTGGTATCGGATGGATTGTTCTGTACAAGCTATGTGCGAGAAGATAGGATTTCATTGAAATTTAAAACTCTACAACAGCAATGAGTGGTTCTCATAGCGGGTGAAATTATCCATTTTGGCGGTGTCAAGAAGCAATGGAGGGGGTCGCGAAATTAGTATTTCGTACAGTTGTTAGGTTATGATAGAACGCTATTGTGATGGTGTTTTTTTTAACTCGGGCATGTAAATTGGTTAGTTGATGGTAACACTCTTCATTCTCCTATTTTCTAAGCATCGAGCCTAACAGGGTTTCCCTTCGTTTTAGCAGGTTTTTCATTCTTTTCCTTGCTGTTACAATCGCTCTCATAGCTTTTATCACCGAAAGTGTTCTCTTGTGTCAATTTCTCATTCATTCCACTCAACAATTGAAGTCAAATTCTCATTCTATTAAACACACTCTATAATTGGTCATTTGACTGTCGAACGTTGTTCAGCAATTCAATTCAATTGTTGTATTGTTGATTTCGGCTGTCAACACTCGTCAATGTATCCAGCAAATAGTATATAAT